CACGGTTTTTGTTATTTTATCTCTTATTGTGGTGTTGTAATTTCAGGGAAGAAAAAAAATAATACAGACATAATTGAAATGCGGGACACTGCTCTCGTCTTGCAGGAGAAAGCTCTAAATTTCAGGAATATCCCAAAAAATTAGGGACAGCTGCTAAACCCAAACTGATGCTGTTGTGCTGACTAACTCTTTACGTCTCTTAACATTTGCACACTTAAGCTCTTAAAGCTTCTGTATGTTGTCAATAGGGCAGCATCCTAACCTGATAAGTGACTGATTTGGGACAGTCTACATAGGCAGCAGTCCTCATGTGAAACACACTAGAGACTTCTATTAGAGATTAATTACTGCAAAAAAAAAAAAAAATAATAATTGTATTTGTCTTGTTTTTCAGTACAGACCCCTAAACATTCTTAAATCAAGATATTAAGATATTAGGCCTTATGATTGTTAGGGTTATGTTTAGTTTTGTTCTGTTTTCATTGTGTTTTCAGTTTATCTGTTCCCCTGTGACCTAGTTTTACTTTGGCCCCTAATTGTCATTTCGTTCACCTGTGTTTCATTAATTAACTCATTAGTTCTTTCGTTTGCTCCCCTACAAATACTCTCAGTTTTCCCTTAGTCAGGGTCCGTTCTCGTTTATGTAATGTTGGTGTACTTGCCTGTCTCCTGGATTTGTTTATTAAAATGCCTTTTGTTTATTTCCTTCGTCCTCATGTGTGTGTGTGTGTGTCCGTCCCTCACCAACCCGTAACACAAATATTAAGTGAGTATAATTACTGATTATATTGTTTTAATTTAAAAGATCAGTTTAGTTTATAGGTATCGGAAACGATATCGATGATATTGGCTTGAAAATATCGGTATCGGATCGAAAATAAAATAAGAGGTATCGTGCATCAGTTGTTGATTGGATGCTGGGATGTGGGCGTGGCACTCAAAAAGTGGAGGCATGTGAACAGGCCCGGCGCCAGGACACACAACATGGGGGGGGCTTTTATATTTCTTAGGGGGGCCGAATCTGCTAATATTAATATTAATACTATTTTCAAGTGAACGCTCGAAATACATTATTTATGTAACACTTTACAATAATTAACTAACACGTTAATACACTTTAATACATCAACTAACATTAACTAATCAAACCTTATTGTAAAGTGTTACAATTATTTGTTATTAAAGCATTTATATGTTCACAAAAACACTGTTAAATTAAACGGAAAAGCAAGCAGGTGTGCATGATTTGGCGTCGCAGCCAATACAAATAATAACCGTTTCCTTACCTAAATCCTGTGTTTGGACCAGGCTCGGTTGCAGAATCACATCACTTTGTGCTTCTGAAATTAGGCTATTATCTTTTTCTATATAGTGTAGTAGTCAGTGTTGGGGAGTAACTAGTTACATGTAACGGCTTTACGTAATTTAATTACAAAATAAATGTAACTAATCAGAAAAAAATGTGTAATTAAATTACAGTTACTTATGAAAATGTTAACGATTACAAAGGGGATTACATTTGAATATTT